TACTTGGAATGCCATTTTCCAAAGTCTGAACCTGGTTAACTGATCCTTGAGATTTATACTTAAATGTCATTTTCTCAGATTAGATTTGGCACCCTACTAGAGAGTCCCAGGGCACCCAGCACTCTGCTTTAAAGCACTTATCACAATTATAATGCCATCCCTATTTGTGTAATTATATAATTTTCTCTTTTCCACTAGATTGAACTCCATGAGGATAGTAGCCATTCTCTGTCTGTTTCAACATAATTTACTTCAATGGCCAATACCTGGGACAAGTCTCTATTAAGCATGCAATAAACATTCATTACAGACTGAAACAAGGGGAACAATAATCACTTTTCTTGAGTACCTGCATATTTCAGGCCAAGTGAAGTCTTAGATTTATCCGCTTTCTTCCCAAAAAAAACAGGCACTGCAGTAAGATGTTAGGATTAATGCATCGTTTGATGTTTTAGTTTGCATAGCACTTCCACTCCATCAGTGCGCTCTACAACAAAAGCTCCTCATAATGTTTTCCAGAGGGTCAAACATTTTCAAACATAGAGGATTAAGTCTGATGGATTGTAAGCTACTCCCAAAAGTTAGTTAGAACTTTGTGGAATTTCTTTATTAACAGTGTTGAAATCACTCTCAGTCAACTTCAAAGTGCATTTCCTTCTTCTGAACAGCCAGCAACAGATTACTCATTAGATTTGGAATAAACTAATGAGATATGACATGGAAGTAAAGTATAAAAAATAAAGCAGCATGGCTAATTGAAAATGTTTATTTTATGAATTTTTAGATGTCAGTGGCTTAAAATAATTGCCGACATGCAAGGTTGGCATTGGTAGTTTCTTCCCTACTGTAAAAAGTTGTGTAAAAAGCACAACAAATATACTCTTTTGATTAACAAAGCAGCAAAGCTCACAAATACCGGAGGCTTAAGGTGACTAATTGTCCTGATTTGCTGGGGACTAAGGGGTTTTCTGAGAAGAGGGACTTTCAGTGTTAAAACTGTGAGAGGGCCGGGCACGGTGGCTCAAGCCTGTAATCCCAGCACTTTGGGAGGCCGAGACGGGCAGATCATGAGGTCAGGAGATCGAGACCATCCTGGCTAACACGGTGAAACCCCGTCTCTACTAAAAAATACAAAAACTAGCCGGGCGAGGTGGTGGGCGCCTGTAGTCCCAGCTACTCGGGAGGCTGAGGCAGGAGAATGGCGTGAACCCGGGAGGCGGAGCTTGCAGTGAGCTGAGATCTGGCCACTGCACTCCAGCCTGGGCGACAGAGCGAGACTCCGTCTCAAAAAAAAAAAAAAAAAAAAAAAAAAAACTGTGAGAGACCCCAGCAAACCCAGATGGCTGGCTACCACAGAACACAGAACTGTTTGGAAAACCCCACCCTTGGGGTCTAATCCCAGCCCTGCCTGTAGGTTAGGCCTGCCCTGGGCAACTTTATGGGATCCTCTTCCCTGATCTGTACAATGAGGCCAATCAAGGAATGGTCAGGTCTGATATGAATGACATTCAATATTCTATGAAATGAAGAATATGGCCATGCAACAGCAGGGATGGTGGGGAAACTAGCAGAGATGACAATCTTAACACTAGCATTTGTGCAAATCAAAACCACCATGAGATGCCACCTCACACCCATCAGAATGGCTATTACTAAAAACTCAAAAAGCAACAGATGCTGGTGAGGCTGAGGAGAAAAGAGAATACTTATACGCTGTTGGTGGGAATGTACATTAGTTCAGCCCCTGTGGAAAGCAGTTTGGAGATTTTTCAAAGAACTTAAAACAGAACTACCATTTGACCCAGCAATCTCATTACTGGGTATATATCCAAAAGAAAATAAAATGTTCTACCAAAAAGACACATGCACTCAAATGTTCATTACGGCATTATTCACAATAGCAAAGATATGAAATAAGCCTAGGTGCCTGTCAATGGTGGATTGGATAAAGAAAATGTGGTGCAATCAAAAAGCTTATCCATCACAATTAAGTCGGCTTCATCTCTGGAATGCAAGGTTGGTTCAACATATGTAAATCAATAAATGTGAATCATAGCATAAACAGAACTAAAGGCAAAATCACATAATTATCTCAATAGGTACAGAAAAGGATTTTAATAAAATTCAACATCCCTTCATTTTAAAAACTTTCAGTAAACAAAATGTTGAAGGAACATATCTCAAAATAATAGCCATCTATGAGAAACTCACAGCCAACATCATACTGAATGGGCAAAAGCTGGAAGCATTTCCCCTTGAAAACAGGCACAAGATAAGGATGCCCTCTTTCACCACTCCTATTCAATGTAGTACTGGAAGAGGAAGTCAAGCTATCCTTGTTTGCAGATGACATGATCCTATATCTAGAAAACCGCATTGTCTCAGCCCCAAAGTTTCTGAAGCTGATTAAACAACTTTAACAAAGCCTCAGAATACAAAATCAATGTGCAAAAATCACTAGCATTCCTATACATCAACAAAAATCAAGCCAAGAGCCAAATCAAGAGTGAACTATCATTCACAGTTGCCACAAAAAGATTAAAATACCTAGGAATATGGCTAACTAGGGAGGTGAAAGATCTCTGCATAAAGAACTATAAACCTCTGCTCAAAGAAATCAGAGATGACACAAACATAGGAAGAGTCAATATCAGCAAAATGGCCATACTAAAAAAGTAATTTATATATGCAATACTATTTCCATTAAACTACCATTGACATTCTTCACAGAACAAGTAAAGACTATTTTAAAAGTCATGTGGAACCAAAAAAGAGTCTGAATAGCCAAGGCAATCCTAAGCAAAAAGAACAAAGCCGGAGGCATCACACTCCTGACTTCAAACTATCCTACAGTACTATAGTAACCAAAACAGCATACCTGTACAAGAATAGACACATAGACCAATAGAACAGAATAGAGAACCCAGAAATAAGACTGCACACCTAAAATGATCTGATCTTCAACAAACCTGACAAAAACAAGCAATGGGGAAAGGATTCCCTGTTCAATAAATGAGGCTGGGATATCTGGCTAGCCTCATGTAGAAGACTGAAACTGGACTCCTTCCTCACACCATATACAAAAATTAAGTCAAGATGGATTAAAGACATAAATGTAAAACTCAAAACTATAAAAACCCTGTAAGACAACTTAGGCAATACCATTCAGGACATAGGCATGGGCAAAGATTTCATGATGAAGACGCCAGAAGCAATTGTAACAAAAGCTAAAATTGGCAAACGGTATCTAATTAAACTAAAGAGCTTCTGCACAGCAAAAGAAACCATCAACAGAGTAAATACACAACCTACAGAATGGGAGAAAATGTTTGCAAACTATGCTTTCAACAAAGGTCTAATATCCAGCATCTTTAAGGTACTTAAATTTATAAGACAAAAACAGCCCCATTAAAAAGTGAGCAAAGGACATGAACAGGAACTTCTCAAAAGAAGACATACATGTGGCCAACAAACATATGGAAAAAAGCTTAACATCACTAACCATTAGAGAAATGCAAATCAAAACCACAACGAGATATCATCTCACACCAGTCAGAATAGCTACTATTAAAAAGTCAAAAAGTAGCAGCCAGGTGTGGTGGCTCATGCCTGTAATCCCAGCACTTCGGGAAGCTGAGGCAGGTGGATCATGAGGTCAGGAGATCGAGACCATCCTGGCTAACACGGTGAAATACAAAAATACTAAAAATACAAAAAATTAGCTGGGCATGCTGGCGGGTGCCTGTAGTTCCAGCTACTCAGGAGGCTGAGGCAGGAGAATGGCATGAACCTGAGAGGTGGAGCTTGCAGTGAGTCGAGATTGCGCCACTGCACTCCAGCCTAGGCAAGAGAGCAAGACTCCGACTCAAAAAAAAAAAAAAAAAAGAAAAAGTCAAAAAATAACAGATGCTGGCAAGGTTGTGGAGAAAAAGGAACACTATACACTATTGGTGGGAGTATAAATTAGTTCAGCCATTGTGGAAGACAATGTGGCGATTCCTCAAAGACCTAAAGACAGAAATACAATTTGACCCAGCAATCCCATTAAGGGGTATATACCCAAAGGAATACAAATCATTCTACTATAAAGACACACACACATGCATGTTCACTGTAGCACCATTCACAATAGCAAAGACAGGGAATCAACCTAAGTGTCCATCAGAGATAGACTGGATAAAGAAAACATGGTACATATACACCATGGAATACTATGCAACCATAAAAAAAACACAAGATCATGTCTTTTGCAGGGACATGGATGGAACTAGAGGCCACTGTCCCTAGCAAACTAACACAAGAACAGAAAACCAAATGCTGCATGTTCTCATTTACAAGTGGGAGCTAAATGATGAGAACATGTGGACAGATAGAAGGAACAACACACGCTAGGGCCTTTCAGAGCAGGGAGGGTGGGAGGAGGGAGAGGAGCAGGAAAAATAACTAATGAGTACTAGGCTTAATACCTGGGTGGTGAAATAGTCTGTGCAACAGACTCCTATGACACAAGATTATCTATGTAATAAACCTGCACTTGTACCCCTGAACTTAAAATAAAAGTGAAAAAAATGTGGTGCATATACACCATGGAATACTACAAAGCCATAAAAAAAAGAACAAAATCATGTCCTTCGTAGCAACATGGATGCAGCAGGAGGCCATTATCCTAAGCAAATTAACACAGAAACAGAGAACCAAACACCATATGTTCTCACTTATAAGTGGGAGTTAGACATTGGGTACTCATAGACCTAAAGATGGGAATAATAGACACTGGGGACTATTGGGGGGCTGAAGGGATGGGGGCAAGGGTTGAAAAACTCTTGGGTACCATGCTCACTCTCCAGGTGACAGGATCATTTATACCTCAAACCTCAGCATCACGCAGTATTCCCGTAACAAACCTGCACATGTACCCTCTGTATCTAAAATAAAAGTTGAAATTATAACAAAGCAAAACAAAACAAAACAAAAAACCCACTAGCATTTGTAAGCCTTACTGGAGTTAGGCCTTCACACTGTAGCACCCAAGGATGGGGGCCTTTGTGTCGGGAGGGGAGACCATGAGCAGTCAGGGGTTCGCTCAGCGAATTCACTTCCTCTGCAGAACGACTCCGTGGGAGTATTCCCATGGCTCCCATTTTCTGGGCGAGGACAGGAAGAAAACACAGGGTAAGTGAAAGTTTGCTTGAAGGTCACCCAGAAGGGGAGCTGATAGTCAGACCAGGTCAGCTCTCCTCTTGGCCAAAGGCTCCTGACCGCTGAGATGAAAACAGCGGGGGCCTCCTCCAGGGAGGGTTTGGAGAGCAGAAGCTAAATCAGCCACAGGTTCCTTTTGTGTTGATTGAGTCACAAAACCGCCAGGAGCTGCCAAGTGGCACGAGATCCTGCACTAGGTTTGGAATAAGAAGGCCCTCAGCTCCAGCCCCAGCCCCACTCCCAGCCCCAGCCCCAGCCCCAGCCCCAGCCCACTAAGGGTGTGCATCACAGCGCTGCCCTCTGCAAAAAGGTGAAATGCAAGAGTCAATTTAACACGGCTCTTCCACACAGAGCTGGAACATTTTCAACCCAGAGTGTGACCTCCCCGCAGCCCTGGCCCAGGCCCTCTCACAAGGAGGAGGCCAGGAGCACGTGAAATTTAACAAGCTGTGAAGCCAGCCTGGCACAGAACCCCCGGCGTGGAAGGCTCCCCTGTGAAAATGCAGGAGGAAAGGCGCAAAGGTTAGTCCCACTGGCAGGGAGAAGATAAGGTTGGGGGTGGAGAAGGAGAAAGGTGGAGTCAGCCAAAGGCAACAACAGGCCTTTCACAAATGCCTCAGAGCAACAGTGGGGAGGAGGAAGAAATAAGCTCATTAATAAACGAGAAGGGAAGGAAATGACTGCTTCAAGAATGTCTGGGGCACTAAATGATTTTAAAAATAAAACTAGAGAGGCCCTGCGTAAATGGCAGGGGATCCACGTCCACCTGACAGCCCTTGGAGCTAATGCTAAGGGAAGACAGCTTGCACCAAGGGGCGTGGGGCCTGAGATAAAGGAAGCGGTCACCTGGAGGGATGGGCCATCTCTCAAGCCAGTTCTTTCCCTCCCCTCCCCTCCTTTCTTTTCTTTTCTCTTCCTTTCTTTTCTTTTCTTTTCTTTTTTCTTTTCTTTTCTCTTTCTACAGTCTCACTCTGTCTCCCAGGCTGGAGTGCAGTGGTGCGATCATAGCGCACTGCAGCCTCGAACTCCTGGGCTTAAGCAATCCTCCCACCTCAGTCGCCCCAGTAGCTGATACTACAGGCATGTGCACCAGAGTCAGCAATTTTTTATTTTTTATTTTTTTGTAGAAACTGGGCCTCTTTGGTGCCCAGGCTGGCCGCAAACAGTTGGGCTCAAGCGATCCTCTCACCTCAGCCTCTCAAAGCACTGGAATTACAGGAGTGAGCCACTGTGCCTGGCCAAGCTTGTTACTTTCTTAGGAAGAGGACATCATAGTGGCAAGAGCACATGTCTTGCATTGGCCTCCACCAGATTTGAACTCGTCCCACCTCTGTGCCCTCAGGCAGTCTCCCTAGCCTCTCTACATGGAAGTGTCCTCATCTGTGACATGCAGCAAACAACAGCGCCTTCCTATGCAGGCTCTTTTTGGGATTACACCAGACTGTAGGTGTGCTCAATAACGGCAGCTATTTGCATTTACAGGCTCACGATCTCTTCTCTATAAACTCCCAGATCCAAAACAATTGAAAACCGAAAGGGCTTTGGTAACCCATTTGACAACAGAGACTGGTCGGATCTAGACTCATTTGACAGTTAAAGCTGAACTGAATTGCTACTAGACTATTTATATTGTATACTTATAGTTAAATATTTAGCTGCAGGAATATACATATGTTTGATTAGGGGATGCTACTCCAGACCCCATTAGGGGATGGTACGTAATATGCAGTGTTTGCACATTTCTTCTCTGAAATCTGGACAATTCTAAATCATGCTGGTTTAAAGAGTTTCAGAAAAAAGGTAACAGACCCATACTCTGGTGAATCTCAGGCCCGCATCCCTCATCAGGAGCAGCATGGGGCTCGCGTGGAATCCTGACCTTAACACCCAAGTAGAGCATCAGCCTCAGGACAAGGCTCCCCCTATTCTGTAGAGCCTTGGCCCCATCAGCCCTGCTCAGAAAAATGGCAAGGGGGAGTCCGATGTATTAGCTGTTAATGCTGGTATGCAATAATCTTGATCTCCAAGTTGCAAAAACCCAGTTGGAAGAGACAGAAATGCAAAGTGATCGGAATGACTACCATACCAAGTACAGAAAATATACGAGTTTCACGAGAAGTTTCAGGAGTCAGACTGACACTAAAGTTGATGGAATTTTAAGAAAAAGGATGCTATTTTTATTTAGCATTAAGTTATTATTTTTTCTATTGTAGCTTAATTTTGGTCCTATCTGAAGATAAAGCTGGACTTGAAGCCGGGATTTAGGGCATAATGGTATAGTAGTAGCAAGCCCCTGTGTCAGTAGCTTTCACAGAACAAGGAGAAAGTAAGATCAAGGTGCAACTGGAAATCTGGGTGTACAGGTACCAGAAAAGAAGATGCTGTAACTGGGGAGTCAGGATTTAGGGGGTGAGGTGGGCAGGGAGGGCAAGTGGGGAGGTGAGAATGTTTAGCCATGAAATTTGGAAGAGGTGAACTTGGTAAAGAGGAAAGAGGTGTGTGTAGGGATAGGCAGGACCATGCCTGTTGGGGTAAGTGGGTGGCTGTGCTGCACACGTACCTTACTGGTCTACATTCTCCCCTCACCAAATCTCTCTCCCCCTCGCCAGGAACCTACTAGAATATCCACACCTGCATCTGCCATGGTGAAGATGGAAATGCACTCTCCCCATATCTTGGGCCCAGCACAGGGCACAGGTAACTATTACCCAAGCTCACTTTCAACACATGGCTGTGCCCTCTTTCTGGGTTGCCGAGGTCACCTGCAGGAGGCTAGGAGGGTGACCCTAGCGTCCCTGTGTTGGATGTGAATCCCAACCCTGTATGACCCTGGTCAGGTTACTTCATATCCCTGAGTTCAGTTTTCCCTTTCCTGAGATGGAATGATAGCCACTGCAGCTGACTCCTGGGGTTCTGTAAGGGTCAAATGAGATGGTTCCTGTAAAGCTCATGTAGGACCCAGCACGTGGTGATTTCCCCATCCGTGCACCCAGTGCCCACTGCTTGGTGGCAGCTCCAGGGCTCCCAGCCATGCCAAGCAACCCATCTTGTGCAGATATCCACAATCCCAGGTAAGACGATTGAACCTTAAATAAATAACAGCATTTGCTTTTTGGGTCTCCCTGACCAGCAGCTGTTAATTTGGAGACTCCTTATTTTCTTGATCATATTAATTTAAGCCCTCAGTCCCCAAATCTCTCAGCTAAATTTAAGCCCTCAGTCCCCAAATCTCTCAGCTAAGCAGCTTTGCCACTTCCTACTTTTCTACTCACAGCAAACTCATGCCTGGCTCCTTTTTCCAGCCTTCAGTGGTAGTGGTATCAGTGAGAGTCCCAGCTGTGCGGTTTTGCTTTGACAGGATTCACAGAGTGGAACCGGGACTGCAGTTACAGGCAACAAGGCGGCACCATGCCTAAGATGCCTTCTCTTTTGGGATTCTTTCAACACTTCCAAGTTTTATTGGCATAAATTATTTTAAGAACCTTTTTGAAACTTCAGATAAGAAGTTCTAAAAGAGAGGCGATTCGAACGATACCCTTTAGGATTCGAAAAATGCTCACTTTGCATTTTCCCTCCTTCTTAGTTATGTCTTGCTTCTTATTTATGCTGAGAGACGTTTCTTTGACTCTCAGAGCACTCGCCTATATTTCATGCTTCCAGCACAGCTGCTTCATCCAAAATGAGGAAGGGCTGCAATGGAGGAGAACTCAGAGGAGGGCTGGAGACAGGACCACTGTACCACCTGCATCTTGGAAGCTGCCTTCCGAAGACCGGCCCAGACACAGCAGAGGGATTACTTAGCATGGCCTTTATCACTTCCGGGGCATGTGGAGCGCTGAATCCTAATCCTAAAATGAGTCCTGAAATTGTTTCCGTAAAATTCATCATTGAGGACTTAAAAAATAGGAGATAAGAAGTAGGAGATGTGAAAGAATAAATCCATGGAACACACATGACAGATTTAGCAAAAATTTAAAACTTCTTCACTTTGACACTTACCTGAGTGCCACCCAGACAAAATTCAGCACGTTGTGCCAGGCATAGTGACAAGCACGGTATGACATCATTCTATCGTGAATCCCACAAGGTGCCTGTTACAGCTGTGGTGACTTGCCTCGGACAGAAGGGAAAGCGGAGGCTCAGAGCAGTTAGGGAGGCAGGTCCAAGTTGGAGCCAGGATGCAAATACAGGGCCGTCTGTCCCCACAGCCTGCACCCCGCTGTGTGCCTTCCTCAGTCAGCACAATTTTATGGGACGGAGTGTTTTAGTCATGATACAACAGCAACAGTGAATTCTGCAATGTAACTAGATTTTCTTTCTTTTTTTTTAAATTAAACTATCTCATATTTGCTCCTGTTTGATCCCTTTTGCAGTTTTTATTCTTTTATTTTCTTATTCACTCACTCATTCATTTGGTGCTGTCTCTCTCTTTCACACACACACACACGAATAGCTACTAAAGTCACTGTCCTTGAAGAATTTAAAGTGGAATCGGTTTAGTTTGCTCCAAGGTGTAGATTCATGCATTTTACCAGAAGATAAGAGCCAAAAAAAGAAAAAAAGGGGGGGAGACAGAAAGGCAGGTTAGAGACAAAAGGAAGAGATGACATCTTACAAGTATAAAGCCTATTCAATAAAATGTGATTTCATGATTGTCATCTGACAACATCCCTGGCTTTTTTTTCTGGTTAGTAAGGAAACAAATGACCAATGACCATATCCCTGTTGTTTGTAAGCTGCACTGTGAGTTCCTGCGAAGAACAGTGTAAAAACGTCTTTGTTTACAGAGTAGAGACAAATTTACTTTCCATTTCTGATAACAACAGAGTCAGTCTTCCCTGCTGCCAAAGATTTTTTGAAACAGCGCGAATACTGCTCCTTCACATTTCTGAGAGAGGGCAGAACTGGGTCATCGTGTTGCTTGACAGAGGGCCATGATAACTGTCTAGAGATATTTAAAGGGTGTAAATGAAGACTTGATTGCTTCAAGATAACTTGGTACTAACTTCGTTTATTAAAGATGCAAGAGATTCGGGTGAGGTATGTCAGAGCCCCAATCCTTCAGAAACATTTTACGGGGCTGGGGGTATGACCCACCCAGTGAGTGGCACTTGAGCCCTGAGTGGAGAGGGCCTTTGGGGACTGTATCAGGGAGGAGGACATCAAGCCATGGCCTCACCAAAGACCTCGCAAGGGAGGACAGTCACAACACAATGGCATTCCAGAGCAGTGGAAGGTATTCATTAGCACTCCAGTGAGGAGAGAGAAAAAACAGAAGGAAGAACAGAGAGGAACAGAGTCGAGCTCAGGGAAATGGAGATTACCCAGCTTGTTGACAGTCAGATACCTCATTCCGTTTCGTTCTTGACTCTGCCTGTCCACCTTTCTCGTGTGTCTCTGTTCTTTGCATCTTTCATGGAAACACGGGATGAGGACAGGGTGAAAGCTCTCAGAGCAGTTAAATTGTATTCCTTTTTGGCAACTCTAGTGAAATCCTGTTTGATGAATTTGGAACTATTGATTGTGATAAAGTTATTAAGGTTAAAGTTTCTTGGAGCATTTATGGATATCACTTATCCTGATAGCAGCTCCCCAGTTAATGTGGATAATTGAATTTGGGAGACAAATGCGCTATTTTGAGGGTCAGGAGATGCTGTCGCAGAAGAAAATGAAAACACGTGGAAAGGAATCATGTCAAGCTTAACATCCGAGTTGAAGGCCAACTCTACGGAACTTAGATTTTTTAATAACCTGTAAATGGTCTCAGAGGAATGGTGAATTGATGAAGTCTTCTGACTGGAGTAAGTCACATAATTAAGAGGTTATTTGTAACAGACCCAGTGAACTATAGGGTATTATTCAAAGCAAAAACCAAACCAAACCAAACCCTCTGGATCAGATGGCACGAAGATGTAGACAGCGTCTCTTATGCCTTATGTAGGAAGTGCCTAATGATTGCTTTGCAAATCCTGACTAGTATAATTCCTAAACAAGAGGCAAATGTCTTAGTGTCATCCAAGTGCTATAAATGAAGTTAAATGGGAACATACGGTTAACATTTCTATAGGACTGTACGTTTGCCAAAAGATTAATAATCACTTGTTCCTTAATATTCATAACATCCCTCTAAAGCAGAATTTCCCACACTGGGACTGGGAGGCCTCAGGGATGGTGGAGGAATTTCAAGAGGATCATGGGGATTGGAGCTGTAGTATTTCAAACAGCTCTCCGGTGGTGATGGAAAATTGTGGGCTGGAGGAGGGAGGTACGGAGCTCCCGGCACCCTGTGCTCACTGGGCAAGTCCCCCTCTGAGGCCTGCGGCCCCTTGTCGGGACCAGACCTGCTTCGTTTCAGGAATCCTAGAATTCTTTTTCCACTCTCTCCTGTCCTCATGTCAGTGCCAGCTCCCACCCTAGGCTCTGGAGGCTTCGGGGCCTGTATTTGAATGCCAGATTTGGTCCTTGCTTGCTGGATAACTCTGGCAGGTTTCTTACCCTCTCTGAGCCTTGAGTACAACACTGAAAAATGTTGGATGATCACTTACCTGGTGCAGCTGTGAATAAGATATCACCTTGAGCACATTATCAGCGTCCAGTGATTAGTGGTAGTAGGTATTCGTTCCCTTTGTCTTTCCAGGTACTTCTTGGATGTTTCAGAAAACAACTACAAGAAACTTTTCGTTTTGAGGACTGTCCTGTGAATCTCTGATGAAAGCAAATAGGAGATACATACTCATGGAACAATACAAATAAATAGATGACATCACAAATATTTCAATATTTCAGTACTCAGTAGACTACACTGATATCATCAAGCTTAATCAACCCTGCACAGTTTATTGCTCCTGACTGCCTTGCAGACATAGGTCACGGAAAACTGTGTGTCACCTGTGCTCCTGATTTTACCCCCAAAGACTCCAGCTTTAGCAGAGACTGGTGACTTTTGTTTTCCAGGACAGTCTATTGTCCTGGATGATATGATCAAAGTATGATAATATTTTTTTTTTTTTTGAAGGACAATAGAGACCCTTTGTCCCAAAAAGAAAAGCTGCCCCTTCAGGTGTGCCGGTGGCCACTGCATCAGGACCTCGCCCTTCACACACATTATTCCATTCTGAAAATGTCTGAACACTTTCTTATTTTCCATGTCCCAGTCTTAAACTGGATTGAAGGAGGAGGTTAAGGCTACAGTATTCGATGAGAGTGGCAATGAGGGTGACGTGAAGTTCAACTGTGGCTTCTTACTATAGAGTATCCCTGTTCTAAAGGGAAGTCTTGTGTGATCACAGTTCCAGAAAACTGAGGAATTCAATGACTCAGATACTCAGTAACAATTAAAAAGTTCATTATTTAGTGTTTCAGCAGAGCGGGGAGGGGAGAGATTTCCTGGTGTACAGCCCTGCTTGTGGCTGCCAGTACCTGCAGGAGGAGAAGCAAATCTCGAAGTTGTCCCTCATCCATACAACATTATATTTAAAGAGAATTCCTGCTAGCTTAGAATATAACCCTGGCTACCACCCACTTCCGTGTCCAAATGTCTTGCAGAAAGCTAATTTAGAAAGCCTGGACCTGACTTAGAGATGGGTAGTATTCAAAAAGGAACACACACAGTACCTATAGATGAAAAGATAATGAATGAAACAAGAAAAGCAAATACATTATGTTTTAAAAAGCTTCACTAGAAAAATATTGCCACAAAACAGATGACATTTATGATCCAACATACTGTCATGAATTTAAAAATAAAAGAAAAAACTTAGTGAAACAATCACCTTTAAAAAACAGGAGCTCAAAAAAACAAATATACAATAGTTCAGGAAATATTTAGCAAGACAATGGGAGGTGAAACCCAAGTTGGCCGAACTTAGCAAAAATGACAGCCTAGAAACCAAGACCACAATGGAAGCAGCAGAACGGAGACCCAGATTCTACTGGAAATTGACCATATCCAAGTCCACAAAGAAAATGATACTAAACTTCAAAAATTAGACTGAGTCCAGAAAAGCTTCTCCAATCACAAAGCAATTTATTTAAAAACTAATAATAAAATGAGGAAGAAAGAGAAAAATTCTACCACTCGGAAATGCTAAAATATTCTTTCATGTGCAACTCTTCCACTAGGGATATATTTTTTAAAATAAAAATAATTAAGGGATATATTTTTATAAATGAAAATAATTAAGCTAGTACGTATCAGAACCGATGGGACAGAGTTAAAGCAGAATTCTGGAAAAAACTTAAAGGTTTAATATTTATATTAATATCACTGAAAGAAAACACCTAGGTATATATTTTTTTAAAGTAAACATTTTGGTAAAAAGGAACGTGAGATGTGGGCAAAACAAAAGAGATAAAAATAATTTTTAAAAGTGTAAGAGTAAAAATTTAACACAAAATATAAATTATATAAAATGTAACTTTAAAATGTTATTGAGGAGGAAAAAATGAAAGAAATGGAAAGGCATGCCATATTCTTAAGTAGGAAGACTTAAAGCAAAAAATTTAATTCTCCCAAAGATAACTATAAATGGAATTTGAAACAATAAAAATATAGGATTTTTAAAAGCTAGATAAGCTGTTACTAAAACTTATAAGAAAAATCAACAGACATTATTCGATGTCTAGTAATAACGGACTTAGTTATTTAGATTATTTCTTCCAGTTAAAACAATGAATATTTGGATAAAATGTTAAACAAACTTGATTTTAAAAGCACTGCAAAGCTGACAAGATAATCAGGACTTCCCAAGTGATTAGATTTTGCCCTGATTGGATTTTGCCCATGGTTGATCAGGTTAAATTGAGTTGCTATGGTTTTCATGAACTCTCAGAGTAAAGAAGACAGAAGTCAAAGGCCAGGACTCACCCAAGGTAGGAAGGAGTGTCTCCCACTTAACTTTTCTCCCACGTTAAGCTGTGAGTCCCAAGGGGTTCACCCTCAGGGTAAAGACAAACCAAAGGTGAACCTGCTCTCCTTCCCTCTACCCCAGGGGACCATGGGAGAGTTACCTTGACACTAAGTAAAGCAGAGAAAAGAAAAAGAAAACCTGTCCCTGATAGGATGTCATCACTGAATCATTGGCCGGCAGCATTTGCCCATATGCTGCTCAAATACGTGTCTTTGGGATGAGCCAATTAACTTTGAGCTATGAATTTAAAGTGATACGCAACCATAGTGCCCCAAGCACCTGGCAGAAGCAAACTCTAATCATCTCTGGAGGCAGATACTTTCATCCTAGGCTTCGAGGATTTTGTATAAATGGTTTCTCAAGGGCAGTAGGCAGTACAGTTGAAGATCACCAAACACTAGAAAACAAAGCACCAATAGTTAATGTCAGCAAAATAGACAGCAGAGGAGAGTTAGACAACTGTAGCTGTTTTGAATGACACTGAATACAAAGAGCTATGCTAATTTTATTTAAGTAAATGAAATTTAATATAATGAATGAAATTTAAATAAATGAAAATTTATTTAAATAAATGAAAGATAAGCTTTAAAGTACATGTAAGAAATAGAAAACAATAAAAATTGACATGGTGGGTTTGAAAAAGATCAACTAGCACTTCTAAAATTAAAAATAGAGTAACAGAAATTGAAAAGTCAGTGAATGGGTATGGTGGCAGATTAGACACTGTGGAAGAGAGAATTAGAGAACTGAAGATAATGTGAATAAATTATACAGAATTATAGTGCAGAGGGGCAAAGAAATGAAAAATATAGGAGAGTGGTAAAGAGACATAGAGGACAGAGAGAGAATCTCTTTTTTCCAAGAAAGTCTTTCTTCTCTTTCAAAAGAGTAATTGTTATTTCAGAAGATGAGAAAAAAGTGAAGTGGTAGGTTATTGAAAGAACAATAATAACTATTAAAGATAAGTGTAAAGAAATTTGCATCAAGACACATCACAAAGTAACTGCAGAATACATAAACAAAGAGAAAATCTAAAAAGCAGCTAGCTAGAGTTGGGGTGCAGTGGAGTATGATGATTAATGAATAAGTACCCTACCAGGTGTCAAATGCATTGTAAAGTGGTATCAATGAACACCTCATGGTATTGATATATGGGTAAGTAGATAGAAATATATATGGTAAACTAGTATATAACAAAAGTTGGTAGCTTAAATCAATAGAGAAAAGGCAGCTTAAGTCAATAAATGATACTAAAATATATAGAATTCTGAAAAAATATGTATATACTGAGATTCCAATGGATCCAAAATTTAGAAAGAAAAAAACCTCAGAAGAGTACTAGAAGAAAAAAAGAATGTACTTTAGAAATAAATTCAGAATAGTAAAGGCTTTTTTACATATAATAAAAACTGAGAAACCATAAAGTAATATATTGATAACTTTCACTACCCCAAAAATTTTAAGTGTGTCTTGTATTATAATATTATATAATATACAGATGTATAATAATATAATACATGAATAAAAACAATGAACTGGAAAAAACACGTGCAACTCATTCACTGATTAAATTCATTTTAGATGTGTGAAGAACTTATACAAATCACTGTGCAAATACTAATCAAATGTAAGATGGCCAAAAGCTCTAAAGCATTTCACCAAAATATCTTCCAACCATATAAAAAGATACTCAACTTCATTCACAAAAAGGGAAATGCAAGTTTAAACTAAAATGTAGTACTACTGCTCAATTATCAAACTGGCAAAGATGAAAACATTTGACAGTACCTTGTGTTGACTGTGATGTAAGGAAGTGTGTTCTCTCATGCATTACTGGTGAGAATGTAACTTGGTACTATCTTCTTGGATCAAGATTTTAAATCACGTGCCCTTTGACCCAGCACCTTTGCTTCTAGGAATTTATCTTACAGTTATATTCACAAATACATGGAATGAGGTCACAGTCATTCATTACAACATTGTGAAAAACGAAAGCTTAGAAACAACCTAAATATTTTTCTATGGAGGACTTATTAGCCTCCTGCCACAGTTTGTTTTTATCTTTCTGTCTTACTACTCACAAACACATTACATGGCACACTTACTCTACCCCTCGGGGCTCTGAACAGTCCCAGGTTTCCAGGCTTGTAGGAAATCAGGAGAGGAGAGAGATGCTGCTAAAGGTAGAACCAGTGACAATGGGCAGCTGTTGGCTTGAAACGAAAAGACAGATAAAGTACAGAAACATCCAAAGAACTTTAAAAAACCACAGTTCTGTAACACCATACACGATTTGAATTTCTCTTCTTTTCTTCCTGCAAAATCTTTGCAAGTGTTTTAAACCTCCTGACATGCACATTCATCTTTATTTAGGCTTCTACTCAAATGGTCCACCCTTCATTCTACTCAAACAGCCCATCAGAGGCTCATTCCTGAACTTTGATCTGTCACAGTGACCAATCCCGTCAGCTCTTCTGCTGTGGCCACACTGCTACCCCTTCTCTCTCTCAGGGCTCTCTCCTCACGGTGTGAGGCTGCTATCCAGGGCCCCTTCCCCTCAGGATGCCCTGTCTCCACTTTGCTGACAGCACTCCTGGTGGCCCCCAGGCTCTGCCCTCCTTTTCTGTCTTCTTCCTGGAGTCCCTCTCTCCTGGTGCTGTAGCCTGCTCCTGTGGCACCCCATGTCATTTGCAATGCACTCATATCCCCAAATCCAAAGCACCCTCTCTCTTTGAATTTTATCTCTAACTTTAATTTTCAATTAAAAACTGTTTTTAACCCAATCTTTAAAGTGCCTTGCAAATGCTCTTCCTCTGCATGAAGGCTTCCTTATTCTCACAGGTGGAATTGTGGCATCCCACCTCCCAATCCCTGCCCATACCTTCTCATGGGTGTAATACTAACCCCCAGGGGGCAAAAATGGGTTATTGGAAGAGGGAACTAAAAATTCAATTCCTTTAATGTACAAGCACAGACTACATAGAGTATATCAACAGATATATGGTATATCTGTGATGTCAAAGTCTCCTGGGGGCAGGGCAATTAGGAAAAAAATTCTTAAAAGGCTCCTTATGAAGGGGTGATCATGAAAGGAAGGTTGAGAAACACTATTCTTGACATTTGCACCAAGATGTCAAGGAGACACACCAAGTCCAGCTTGTTAAAAACCTAATGACTTCCCCTCCCTCATCTCACTCCTGATTCCCCAATCCACACCTCCTATACCCTTGTCACAGCTAATGCCATGGTCAGTCAGTCAGTGCCCATGGCGGGGTCCTCAATATTTGGCACATTTCCTGTCTTCACGGCCCATATATAATCACACTGTATTAGTCCGTTTTCATGCTGCTGATAAAGAAAAATAGGTTTAATGGACTTACACACAGTTCCACGTGGCTGGGGAGACCTCACAATCATGACGGAAGGTGAAAGGCACATCTTACATGGTGGCCAGCAAAGGGATAATGAGAGCCAAGTGAAAGGGATTTCTCCTTATAAAACCATCAGATCTCATGAGACTTATTCACTACTACAAGAGCAGTATAGGGGAAACTACTCCCATGATTCAATTGTCTCCCACCAGGTTCTTCCCACAACACATGGGAATTATGGAAGCTACAATTCAAGATGAGATTTGGGTGGAGACACAGCCAAACCATAACACATACCAAGCCCTCCAGGTTGTACCACCACCTTCTCTCTTGCACCTGTCCCTCATGTCATGCCAGCCAACTGCCTGAGTTTAAGGCCAGGTCACCTCTTGCCTGGAACACTGCAATGGCCTTCCAAATCATTTTCACCCCCTCCCTATTCCAGTCTATCTGTCGTTCTGCCACTAGAGAGAACTTTCTAGAGCACAAACTCATGATTTAATGTTCATGTATTTGAAATTTGATTTCAGTTTGCTTCAAATAGAAAGTCTCTAGAATAAAAGACAAGTCCATCAGCATTTTTCCAGATCCCTTTCCTATATTCCTCTACAGTCATGCTCTATTCTACCACAGCTGACCGCTGTGCCTTCCCTGGAATTCATTCTATGTGTTCATATCTCTCTGTCTTTTTTCTATCAAATCTTCTCAGAATTCCTTTTTCCACTCTTTTCACCTGAACTCCTATTCCTACCTCAAGGCCTGCTCAAATGTTCCATCTTCTGTTAAGTATTGCCTCACGTGATTCCTGGCAGATACACTTGCTGCTTTCTTTCTGCTTCTGCAGTGCAACACACGTGTTTATATAACAGGGAATGGACCACATTGCTTTTCAGTTGGCCTCCTTCCTATGTAAATTTAAAGAAGGATACTTATCAAATTGACACAGGTTTTGAGAAAAATACTCTTATGTGCAAAGTGTTGTGCTGGACATTGGAACAGTAGAACTGAATAAAGAAGGCTTGCCTTCATGGAGTTTAAAATCTGGTAGGAAAGACAAGTATTCAGCAAGTCATTTTAACAAATAAT